GATTTATCTTGACCAAGTGTCTCTGATTTTCTCCTCCCACAGGGACCATCCGGACCCAAGGGAGAAAAGGTATGCTTCAATATGGATTTCAAAAGCCTTTCTAGACAAGTCAATGCACTGTACGAGTGTATTTTGAACATTTATTTATGGGCAGAAGGTGCTCGGACAACCTTGCCGTCGCCCTCCCACATTCGAGTTTTCACTGCGTGTCCATCAAAAGAGCCGTAGATTACATTTAGCTATGCGGGAGCTCATGTGTCTCTGCACATTCTCACGTCAAGGTACTAAGCAGGTTTACAGGCCTTCCGCAAAGCTCGATGATAGCCAGATGTTTTCCCGCTCTGTGAACCTCTGCCCAGCCTAAGATCTTAGCAACCGTAAGAGCTGTAAGTGCTGGCAAGAGGAGCCTCGTCGTGTGGTCGTTTCTCTCCACGCTGCTGGTTGGCTGTGTGTATATGTTCGAGACTGCGTTTTAGCCGAATCAGGAGGGCAACACAACTGCATTAAAGTGCATCTGTCAGAGCGGGAATCAGCCTGATCAATGAGGCGATTGCATCTGACAGATGAAGCTGAGGTTCGGAAAATTGGCTCACTTCATGTAATCATGAACTCCAAAAAGTTGATCAGAAATCAGCTGTGTTCAGCATGTGCACGCCGCATTTCGACTTCATTGATATTGTGCTGTCGGATGAGTTATGGCCTACCAAATGATTTATACAATAAATGTCAAAACACTGAGCTGTTTAGGAGACAGATGACCTTTGAACCACTTCCTTCCCAAAACCAAATCTTCCATTTTAAGCCTGTCTGTCATCGCTGCTCCACAGTAGCTGAGCTCTTTTGGATAACTGGTCTGCTGCACATATACAGGGCTAATAACTGCTGACAATTGTTATTTTCCTGTTTTTCCTCCAGGGTGACCAAGGAGACATTGGGCCAAGGGTAAGTCTGTGTTTTCTGTATTCATCAGAGAAGGTTAAATATGTTGTTTTTGGCTGTTATATGCACATTTTGGAAACTATGTCCTCACTGCAGCTGACTCTGTAGAAAAGATGCTGTCCTTTATATGTTTTTTTTTTTCTCTGTGTAATTTAAAAATGACCTTCCATTTAAACTTTACTTCCAGTTTTTGTTCTCCTTTTATTTTGAATTTTTGTCTGTTGGTGTTCTTCTTAAACATTCACCCTTTTTAAAGGTCATAAGCCGCACTTTCCTACTGAAACAAAGGACATACAGTACTGTGCAAAAGTCTGGAGCCAACCCTCATTTTTATCATATTTCGCTTCCAAGGAGCCAGACTGTCTTCTCATTGTTAAAGTGGTCTTGAGCAATAGCTCTCAAGGCTTTCTAAAGATCTTTCAAAGTTTTTATTTGGACATTGGCTGCCTTTTCACTCATTTTTCAGTCCAGATGTTGTTTGTTTGTCAAGCCACTTAACACTGGACCGAGAAACAGTTTTAGATTGTGTCCTTAGGCAATTTGTTATTAGCCGCCTGTCGCAAAACACATCATTTGTTCACATTTCTTTAGTTGAATCGATGAAAACTGCCAAAGATAACACAGTTTGACAGACATAAAATATCATTTTTGCCACAATGAGGTGATTCCTACAGAAATGACGGGTAACTTGAGGCTTTTACACAGTCCTATTGAAGTTAAAGAGAAAAACAGAAGCTTGACATTTTAGAAATTTGGCTTTTGCATGTGAAGCAAAGCTTTAATGTGTTATTAAGTCAGTAAATAGAAATTCTGTTAAGTAGAGCCAGAGTTACAGTTTTCCCAATGCAGAGCTGTCTGTATGTTAATTTGCTGCTGTCTGAGATGAGTGGTAACACTCCTTTTATATGATTTTTGTGAGACAGAACCACAAATTTTAAAAGCTATGCTTGAAATTAGCTTAATGTATTTTAGCTTCATTATAACTGTAGAGCTTCCTAAGCTGGTTTCTAGTCTGCTATCACAAACTGAAAATCAAAAGTCAGGGAGACTGAAACGTGTCTTCTCCGAAGTGTTTATGTCATCTGAAAACCATTAAACGGTTTATTTGTTATCGCAATACGGGAAAAATCTGGATAAATAAGGATAAAAGTCTCGGTCTGTCTATAAAACGCATACACAAAGTATTTTAATAATCCAAAAGCAAACGTGTGTTTACCCAGTGTGGCTTCCCCACACACAACTGCACTGACAGCACACGAGGTCGCCCATCTCCAAAGCCAAAGCCAGACATGAGAAATGACGTTATTAGCAAACATTAAACCTTCACCATGTTACCTCAGTGGTCGGGGCGGCGTGCCAAAGCTCCCGTCTCTTACCCAAGCTAAGCTACTTTTTTTTTTAACATTACAGAGAAACCTCACCCTGCATCTGGTCTATGTTGTCAGTGCTGCCTTTTCATCTGATATCATTCCTCCCTCCATGAGAGCTCCCATTTCATTTAGTGTGGTTTGAAAATAAAACCTCTGTTCTTTACATGGTAAACAGTTTCGAATCTTTAAAGAGGTCACATACCCATGAATGTTTTTTTTAGAGCGCTTAGATCAGAATGCCACATAAAACCGCTTCTTCACATGAATTTTAAAGTGGGGATGAACATGAAAATGTGTTACAAGCATGTTTCTAATGGCTCTAAAATCTTCTCATAGCCATTCGTTTCTTGTGTTTATTACCACCGATCTGTCCATCCATCCATTTTCAGCTGCTTATCCTAGGTCTGGTAGTGCATGGATTGTAGATTAGAAATGTGGAAGTACATCTCCTATGACTTGAACCCCAGTAATGGAATCACAGAAGAGTCTACGATTATTGGAGTTAAACTGGCTATTGTTTTATACCAAAAGCTAAATGGAGAGTAAATATGATGTGGCTACTCAACGGAACAGTATTTATGATGCGGTTCAAAAAATTACAGAAATTCCCGATTCCTATCAAGGCGTAAGCCATTTGATTTCCCCACCTATCCTTTCAGATCGTTTGTGCAAGAATTAAATCTCCTTTGGCATTTCGCATTACATAGTTATTCCAAATGATAAATATTGCACTTGGCCCAGGCCTATGCAGCTTTGATGTCCCTGGATAAATCTGCAGCCCCAAAAACCTCAAGCTTGGTTCAAATCAAACCCAACAGCTCCTAAAACCAATGTAGATGTGGATGAGGTTTGGCTCCCTCATATAGGTTGTCACAGATACGGCTGTAGATGGGTTAGAAAACAAAAATCTCTTGCTTGCTCAGTACTATTTTTAACAGTCTGATTGTCTTCAGGTCATTAAATATGCTCATTTATCACCTTACTGGGATTTCAAAACTGTATTCAAAGGTTCAGCTTTGACCTTTACGGGCAGATAAGCGTATGTGTGAAAACAGAAAGCAACCGCGAATCTCCGTCAATGTGCCACTTCCTGTCAGTCCATCACTTTTAGTGCCTCTTCCAGGCTGATTCTGGTCTTAGACCAGGGTACCAAAACAGGATAACGGGGTTATTAAAACAAAATGTTAAAGAACCACCAAAATCATGTGAGGAAAAAGGTCATGTATAGTGTTGCGTCTTTCTCCAAAGCAACTTTTTGTTGAGTGGAGTAAAGTTAGTAGCTATTTTTCCCAAGCCTCCATACAGTCAAATCCATACGGAGGACATTGTCACTGCATGTTTAGGTTCATCTGGGGGCTGTATTGAAAGACAAGCTCTGATGAGAGTTTGATCCCCTGCCAAATCCTGCCTTTGCCTCCCTGAGAGCATCTGCAAACAGGCCATAGTGAGACGGGCCTCCAGGGATGAATGGCCATTTGTCTTAGTATCAGCCTTAAGTCTGATGAGAACAATGTAAAGGGGAAACCCACCATGAAACAGTCTATTCTCTTATGCAGTGTTTAAGGAGCATATGCATAAGTGGTCTTCATGGTGGGAACGGTGTGAATAAGCGACTGTGACAGTGGG